TTTTTTTTTTTTTTTTTTTTTGTCGAACGGGTTTGCAAAGCGGAATTTACAGCGTCGATAGCAATTAAGCGAACGGCAAAAATTCCGCAAGCGGCGACACAAAATCAGAGGGCGCGATGATGGCTTTGTCCATACCGCGTCGCGACGCTGCCTGTCACACGGGATGATAATTAAATTTCATACGCGCCATCTAAAAGCGCGGTATCGGTGTATTGCGTTCGACGATTCTGATCGTTAATTTTGAATTACAGACCCTAGACACGCGGACTAATGACGAATACACACGATGTCGCGCCTGTTAATTACTACTGCGGGAAACGAGCGTGTCCGCTTCGGTGTTCCTCGACGCTCGCGCAGACTGCAACCGTTCAATTTCGACAAGAGGGAAACGGAAAAACCGACGCGTCGACGTCGACGATCGTTGCGCATATTTCCGAGAACCGTCATCCGCGTCACTGTCCGTCCGTCCTGTCGCGTCGGTATTATATTTGCGCTTTAACGAAACCTGTTTCGAGAGGTCGGTTATTTGCGTATCGCCTTATATTTATTTGGTCGGGATTCCACGAACGCGGTTCATTTGCAAATGAATTCTTTCGCTACAGCGTTCGTATCACGCGGACGCTTTTCGCTCGTCGACCAATCGAACGGGACAAAAGCTGTCGAACGGAAAAAGAACTGTATTCGCTCGATGACGCTTTTGTGCTCGAGACCTAACTTCAACTGCTATTTACCGAATTGCACGCGGTAGGTAATTAAATAAAGGGAATAGCAAACAAGCGTACCTTTGTTCCAGGGCAAAAAAGAACCAAAAAAAAAAAAAAAAAAGGGGGGGGGACCAATAAACTGACCGCGCTGTAGCTTTGATTTTGCGCGCTGTTTTACTTCTGAAGTAAATAACAACGAATCGAACGTTGATAAACGAACGAAAAACTATCCCCGTTCGTCGCACTTTTCGAAACGATCCGCGATCGACCGAAACCCAATCCATACGATGCCTTCCGGTGTCGAGATGTCTCTAAAAAGTTGTCCTCGACCATTGCCTCGATTCGTGGTATGTACACTCCAGTTCATAAATATTAGAACACTTATCGTATATGGAGTACCTAATTGAAATAAGGCATTACGAAATAGTTGAAGGTCTGATATGAATATCGTCCAGGGAATTTCAAAGCTATATGAACAACAGGTACGCTAATATAAACTAGTCGAAATGGCTCAAAATGAGTAACACTTACGGAACATCATATTTTCCTCATACACTCCAGGTGTCCTAATACTTATAAACGATCGTGTAGGCACATACAACCACGTCTTTTCTCAAAGGGTCGACAGCATCGCTTCCAGGCGTCTGACTAATCCACGCTCATTCTACTTGTTGAAGTTACTAGCTCGATTGTCGATTCCTAATATCGTTGAGTTGTAGTACGGCTTCCTAGGACCTCGATCCCAGGGTCGGGGATCAAGAGAGGGTCTAAGGGGGGGCTGAACCTTTTATTTTGGTATAGTGAAATGTTATTTAATTTTATTTAAAATAAATTTCAATTTATGAAGATTTATGTATTTTTTGTGCTGTATTACACCCCCTCCCCACCATTTAACCAAAGAAACCCCTGAAAATTGGATAGCTCTGGGCCACAAGAAATCTTAATCCGGACCTGCTCGATCCTGAAGACCTTTTTCATTCTTTCCAAGCCGATACGATACGTCCGTCTATTTATCTCTCTTATAGCCCGTCGAGTGAAAGGTGAGACGAATGCAAAGAGAGATAGGAAGTTCGGATAAACGAGGAAAATACATCGTAGGTACACCGCGCGCGAAAAACGTGGTACAGTAGAGACGATCGTAGAATCTTTTCGCGTCCCGTCGCGAAAATCTCGCCGCCACGAAACTGCGAGACGCGTGCTTCGAAAATTTTCGAGACGAAAACGCGAATAAACGTTCCCACGGGCCTCGACTATATCCTTCATGGAAGTGGATAGGACACCGTGACTCGAGTTCCCCGTACCTACAGCGCAATCATTCTCGAGTTCTCGCATTGTCGTCGCAAGCACCATCGAACCCCTTTTTCCCCTCGCGATTCTCGAGTCTCGAGCGACGGTCCAAGTGTCCTCTTTGTCGGATCCTGTGCCTGCCAGCGAATACGTCCGGGAGTTAACGAAACTTACGTGTGTGTTAGAAATATTAGTCCGAGGCCTTTGATTTTTAAAAGAACTGCGCTCTTTCGAGGTTCTGAGGTAAATGTTGTGCGGTCAATCACAGTCCTCTTACCAAAAGTCGTCGCTGTATTTCCCACTCCGTGGCCAGATCGTCTAGGAAAAATGTCCTTATTCTTAAGGCAAGGCAACGTCGGGTTGCTTGCCATCCCCAACTTTTACTCATCTGTTTCACATAAACAGACCATCTCCGTCAACGATAACCGAAAGACCCAAAGTATCTAGTAAAACACCATAATCTAGAAATTACATGAACCATTATACCAATAATTATACTTATAATTATTGCTATACCTTCTCTTAAAACATTATATTTTATCGATGAACTTTGAAATCCTACATTCTTTACTATTAAATCAATTGGTCATCAATGATATTGAAGATACGAATATTCTGACTTTTTATACATTCAATTTGACTCTTGTATAATTGATATAAATAATCTATATACATTCCGATTATTAAATGCAGATAACCGAATAATTATACCGTTCAAAACTCCCGTACGAATATTAACAACAACAGAAATAATTCATTCCTGAACCATGTATAATGTATACGTATTTGGTTTTTTGTTTCAGTCGCACCTGTCTGCAAGGAGGACCGAATTATCGTGGTCGGGGCGTCTCGGGGCGAGTCACTGGACATCGCTTGCAGAGTGGAGGCCGATCCACCGGCGCACAATTTCCGATGGAAGTTCAACAACAGCGGGGAAACGTTGGAAGTCGCGCCGGGCAGATTCTCGATGGAGAAGTCGAGCGGCGTGAGCGTGCTCAGGTACACGCCGACCACCGAGCTGGATTACGGTACTCTGTCGTGCTGGGCGGACAATTTTGTCGGCACACAAGCGAGACCGTGTCTCTTCCAGCTGGTAGCCGCCGGTGAGTATTTACCGGATCTCTCGGTAAACGTTACACCGGGGGCCCCTTTCGACGAGCCAGCGGGCACTCGAGTAGTCAGGAGTCTCGGGAGCGGTCAGAAAATCGTGTTAAAAGCCTTTCTCGAGCCGAGAAACGAGCCTGTTTACGCTCGCGAAACTATGACCGTGCTCTCTCCGTGTTACGTTTCGACCGTGAACACGCAAACACGACACTTTGCGGCGCAACGATAAACAGCGCGATCAACCGACTGGAAAATACAGGTTGTCGTTTAACCCTCTGAATATTGGACTCGCGGAGCGTCCAAATCATTTCTGACTCATATCGCTAGGTCACTGAAGACTTCTCTCGATTATTGTCTGGCTTGTCCTATGCGATTATTGTCCAGGCGTTTCCCCCATCACTGGGGAGGGGAGGTCGTTAAATCTGTCAAGCGCAGACTTTGTTGCCCGTACGCTTTGGTTGCCGTGGCTTCGAGCAAAAAAAATTAGAAGCATTTCTCCCTATAAGATTATTGTCCCGGACCCCAGTTTGGGACGATAATCGAGGAGAGCCTGTAACACAAAGTCAAGGCGGCTCGAGCTCGAGGCCTGTACCGACACTGTAGAAGTTTTGTCGACTAGAAGAAGGAACGGCGAGTGGAAAAGGAAATAAAGTGAGCCAAAGACGTAAGTCAGTTTCTTCTGCGGCGTTTCAGCCTGACCGTTTTCATACAATGTCAGACGACGAGCAGTTCCCGAATTACACGGACAGCTCCATCACTGACCCCGGCACCGTTCCCGGAGGGATAAAAAAAAGCACGCACTCCTAGCCGTGGGTGAAAGTCTCTCACTTTTTTAAAATTCGAAATTCGACGATGAAACCTGCGAGTCAATGAGGAGATAGCTCGAATAGACCGTCGGGTCGCAGTTGCTGCTACTTCTGGCTCGAAAGTCCTCCCGCGTGTAAATTATTCAGGAACCGGCGTATTCCTGGCGCCCTCGAGACCGAACCAAACCACCGAGACTATTAACGCCTCAATTATTTACCGTTCCGAAACCGAGATTGTCCTGCCCCTAAAGATCTTTCCAATTACTTCAAATACGATCGTTATTCAAACCTGTCTCGTCGTTGTTAAGCTACGTGAGAGGAGGGAGAAGAGGGGGTTGTTCTTAAAACCTCCAACCGATTTCTTATCCGATCTTGCCGTCCACACAGCGTCCGTTATTTCAACCTCGCTTCGAACACAGTAACGAAGTGCTCTGTAAACGTCCACAACGTTGCCTGGGAACGGCAATATCAACGGTTCGATCGGTAAATTAACGAAAAGTCGCTGGCATAACCGTATTGGCAAACATTCCGAGAGCAAACCCTTGTTTATTTTACGTACACGATGCGATGGTATCGTGTACTGCGCACCAGAACGAGTTAATTAATTTCTCGTTAATTATCGAATTTCGGGCAGATCACTCGAGGTTAACTGGTGGTATATACGGGTATCTCGAGCATCGCCATATTCTTTTTTTGCCGGCTTCGAGAGGGAGAACATGGGACTCCTTTTAGTCCAGCGTTATATTCCTCGAGCGCCGGCCAATTTTCTAAAGGTCCCGGCTGTGACGGGGTGAAGGGAACAAACGGTCGAAATCCTGACAGATACGCGAAAATTATCGCCCTGCGTGTACAATGCGATGCAACCAATCATCGCGCGGTAAACCGACATTAATCCCCGAGCGCGGATTTTACGGGACGCGCGGTGGCGCCGCCGCCAGTGCCGTCATCGCGTCTTCCCCCCCCCCCTCACGCCTCCTCGTATGATCGAGAATGACGTTGACGCGACGACCTGCCGAAAGCGTATTGACGTTGACGTATACACGCCGCGCGGCCAAATCGACGGATTTCCATCCTTTGTGGTTCGTGGATTTTCATCTCGCTTATTTCCGCTCCCACATTTCCCGCTCCCCGGCCCTTTGTTTTCGCGAGATCGAATAAAAAACCGACGAACGTCGATCCGTCGTCGCGTCGAGGGACATTTTACTAGCTAGAGAGAAGATGAAACATCGAGATTCCGTGGTCCGAGTCCGAGGTTTAGAGTAACCTCGAGAAACCTTTACGGATAGTCGTCCCTGGGATCAGTCGGTTCTATCCAACCTGTCGCAAGGAAAACCAGGACGGGCCTCTTTCATCCGCGGTGACCCGTGAAACGATCCTCGACGGAACAAAATTATTTTCAAATCTCTCGTTATTGGTATTGGATGTTGCGTCGCTGGTATAGGGTATTGGGAGACGAGAGACCGGGTTGCATCGAGATCTGCTTAAAGAAAGTTGAGCCGGTTATTTGTCGGTGATTCCATTATTGTTCGAACGACGACTCTCTCCTGTCCTCTTTGAGGATCGAAAGAAAATTGATTTTTGTCTGATCGATTCCAAAGAACGTGGAATAATTTTCGTTTAATAACCCACTAGGATAGCTCGAAATGGCTACAAAGAATTTCGTTTTCTTTTTTTTCTACGCTTCGTCGGCATACGAACGAATAAACAATGTCAGATACAGCGTATCGGAACGAGGCGCGCAGTCTCGAGACCACAGGCTTGTATTAAGCGGTGGATGAAAATAAATCGAACGACCCCGCGGCGTGAGGGAGCACAACCGGATGGGGATGGAATCCTTGGAAAATTCAATATATCGTTTAAAGCGACCGAGGGGTTCGAACGGGGAGCAAGAGGGCGCGGGGTTTGCGATTAACGCGAACGAAATCGCGGCGGCAGTGGAGCAAGGCGCAAGGGTATATAAATAGATTCGCGAAAGGAGAAACAAAGATAGCCCAAAGGAAAAAAGAGCGTGGACGTAAAGTGAAAGAAAGGCGGGGGACCGAAGGATTCACTTTCCTCCCTGTGTGCCGACGGAAAAGGCGAACAATATTTATTTTCTCCTTGCCCCGGCCTCTCGGAGGGCCGGGCGCGATAGCTGCGCGCTGTCTGTTCAAGGGAAAGGAAATTTGATTTCGAGCTAGAGCATGGCCCGAAGAGAAGAAAAAAGAAAGGTACGGCAAGAAAAATACCGGCGCGATGTAGCGTTGGGACACGACGCGCGTCGAGGACCGAGAAGACTCGGCGTCGAATCACGACTACAACAACGGTGCGCTTTGACTGACGGATGAGAAAGAGAGTTTCGCAGGACGCAAACTGCATCAGCGCGGGCCTGGAGACGGAGAGAGAGGGGTCGAGAGTAGAGAACGGCATGTAGAGAGCGCGCGAAGCGAACAGAAAAGAAGAAAAAGTGCGGGACATCTCTGTGACCATTACTATCCCGGTACACTAAATCCTTGCCACTCGTAGACGCGCAAACATTTTTCACCGGCCGGGCCCTGGTGAGCTTGATTTCCAGAGAGCTGTGAGTCTCGCGCGCGCTTTCAGCCAACCTGTGGAGCGTGCAGCGTTCTCGGGGGGTGCAAAGTATCCGGGAAATATTAGCGGACAAAGGACGACAAACGAGGGCCCGACGCGATAAGAAAAATTGGTATCGAAAGCGCGGAAGATGGCCAGGAAATTTCCTCGGCACACAGGGTATAACAGAAATCTTGTAGGTCCCTGAAATGGATGATTCGTGAGGTGATTTGGAACAAGTTCTTCCTTAGCAGAAATCTTGTCCGAGGGTTTGTTAACGAGATATTAACGAAAAACCCCGACCAATCAGCGCGCGAGTCTGACGGCTGAGCTTCCACGGTTGCGTTGGCTGCGCGCTGCGATTGGTAGCCAATACTACTGCGACAGCTCAGCCGTCGGACTGGCGTTCTGATTGGTCAGGGTTTTTCGTTAATATCTCGTTAACAAAGCTTCGGACAACATTTCTGCTAAGGAAAAACTTGTTCCAAATCACCTCACAAATCACCCATTTCAGGAATGTACACACGTTTGTTATACCCTGAATATGTACCTATGTTTACACGCTACGTATTCCACGAATTAAGTGGAGAACCGACGAGAATAATATTCCGCCACTGGTTTGATATCGCCGGGCAGTCCGGTGGCCTGCACACGCTAGGATGATAATCGTTTGCGCGTCGAGCGTGTACGAAAGTCGGTTCCCCGCGCGAGACGAGCCTCTTTTGCTCTTATTACACAGAGCTCGGTAATGCTCGCCGGGAGCGTTGGGATTCGCACAAAGTAACCGTGGAATATTGCGAGCGACCAACCGACGCGGCGGTCGGGCCGCTCCGGTTTGCCGTTTACAATCGTAACGTTCTAAAGAGCCAGCCAAGACTGAAATCCTTTACGAAGCAATTTCACGCGCCGAGTCGTTTTAATATTCGGGGACTTCCGGAACGTCAACCTTTTCCTTCGCTTTTTGCCCGGTCGGTATACTACATCGCCTCGCTCGCGTCCCAGTCGTCGAAACTGTCGTTGCGAACGAAGGCGCGATGCGATATGCACGCGAGTTAAGGCCCGGCGCACACGAGCAGCTCGCGTTATTTCGAAGCATATTCATAGAAATGTATATAGTCCATCAAACGATTTCACACTTATTCTAAAGTAGTTACAAAACTTGACCTCATCTTCCCTTAAATCGTAAACCACAGTATTAAATGCTCCTTTAACACGTTGACTGCCACAGTGAAAAAGGCCGTACGTAGCCAGACACACTTTGTTTCGTTTTTTAAGTCATAAATTGTGGAAAATATTTGAGTTTAGTTAATAGACGCTGTAGGTCTTGTTTTAAATTATACTGTGATATTAATTTCATGCAAACATTTTATAACATTGTTTAAATAATCCAGACACTTTTCAATGTACGTGTCACCCATATTTGGGTGACGTGGCAGTCAAAGTGTTAAGTAATCCTAAAGATTACTAAAATCAGATAATTACTAACTGTAAAGATGATTTCACCGCTCGAAATTAACGCAAACAAGACGCAAAGTTTCCGCCGAAATCAGCGTCACGTATGAATCGCTGCGAAATGTCGCGTGCCGTTCGTGTGCGCCGGGCCTAAAAGACGACGGTCTACCGAAACGCACACGGAAACGAAGCTGTTTCCCCAGCCGCGAGCAGAAGTATAACAGAGGTGGTCGTGCGCGACACGGGGGACAGTAAAATTTTAACGATTCAAAAAAACCGCTCCCGCCGCCGGAATCCTAGCAGCCCCATTTAACCGTGGCTGACGTTTTCTCGTTTCAGGAAAACCATTTCCGGTACGTAACTGCACGCTCGCGAACCAAACATACACGAGCGTCGAGGTGAAATGCGTCGCGGGCTACGACGGTGGGCTGCCTCAGAAATTCATCCTGGAGGTGTACCACGGCGACGTGGACTTCTTGTCGAGCAGTCAGCCCCTCTACAACGTATCCAACGCGGACGAGCCGAGCTTTTCCCTGGCCGGATTGGAGGCGTCTGTGGAGGCTGGTGTCCATGTCGCTGTTTACGCCGTGAACGCAAAAGGGCGTAGCCTGTCTGTTATTCTCAGCGAGGTTACGTACCGCGATGCCGAGAAACGTACAGGTGAGTACGAAAATCAGGGAATCCTGGGGAATCGGAAAGGTGCTCGTTGAAAGCCTTCTCCGATTTGGTTCGACGACAATAATCCCTTAGCACAGTGCTGTCCAACTTGGCTCTCAGCCCCCTCACACGTTT